AGGCGCTGCCTATAATACGAAATTCTATGCCAGATCGTTAGCGTTTGGACCCTAACATTTGGTCTTTTAGAAAGGATCAATTCCATCTTTGCTAGGGAAGGGGACGACTGCTTAAAGTCGGGATGTGCTTGTGTCTTTTTTAGGTACTAAACTTGTACCTTGGTCAGTAGCGCTCTGGTAAAATTCATCGTATCTACAAACGGTTGGAAAGGAAGTGTTTGAATTTTGGTAGTTGTGGTTTGATTAGCATTTCGATGTAAATAGTAATTTCTCACTTATCAGTTTAATAACATGTTAAGTGCGGTTCGTGCATTATCGAAAGTTCCATTGTTTATTCTAAATCAATTTATTACACATTCTGAGACGTAAGATTACACAAAAAACAAAATTTAGCAATCTGCTATTGTAAGTGGCTGGGGTAGACAAGGGAAAGAGCTCCGATAGCGTTTGACACCTTAGCTTTTGCACAGTGCAGTGGCGCTTTAGAAAACTCACATTGAACAGCCAAACCTTAACCTGAGTAGAGTTTTGTTCAAATTTCGGGACTGACAGTGGTCGCCCAAAGGTGGTGCCTGTGATAAATGCTTGAAAGATGGCTTGAAATCTTTAAAGTTGCGACAAGTATGGTGATTGAGGGAAGGTATTGTAGCCGGGCTAGATTCTTTCCTTGACTGCTTTTGCGCGCGTGTGTGACTAGCAAACTCGACTTAATAAAAAACGAATGAGCTGCACCACAATGCTGCCTACCATATTCTTTGATCCTCATCAATTTCTTCTTCGGATTATCCCAACAATCCAAAAAACCTATAGCGAGTATCACTTTTCTTTGTTCCCATAAGTCCCGCCTATTTAGCCAACTGCAAAAGCTATGGTACATCCGATTAGCAAAAATTGGCGAACTGTTTTTTTTCCTAAGCTGGAATATCCGTTTAAGATGGCGAAAGAATAAAATTTCTTCCTGCTTAGCATGAATTCTTGAAAACTCGTTACAAGTCGTGACATTACCATTGCAGTTGTGAACTTGAATTTTATCATTGCGAATACTTAGCATGAAAACAAAAACGACTAAAGAGCGTCAGGTTTTCAAGGGTATGACTGAGTATTCCATAATATCAGGATTTCATTGGAAATTTCATATTTCAGTAAGACACCTATCAATTATCCCTTTGTTCAGTAAACATATAATCATAGTCGCATCATGAAATTAGTTATGGTCAGTCAGTTGAAGCTACGCTTTGGCAGATAAAGAAGCAATGAGGAGAT